ATGATGATGATGATGATGATGATGATGATGGTGATTACCCTTAAAAATTGCCATTCCATATTTTTGTTGCTTTTTTCGGGGTTTTTTAGTACAGAATTGTTCAACAAGTCGGCCAAAAAATCATCAGACACTTCGGCAAAAGTGCAAAACGCGAATTTTCCGCCATTTTGAATTTTCTATTAGTAGGCTATATATCACTAATAGCCTACTAGTAGCGTAGCCAATCAGAAGCCACGATATGTGATAGCCTACTAGTAGGTTTATACTAAAATATGTTATTTCTATTTTGATGGTCTGGTAACCTGAAGTTCGGGCCCTATCACAGATCTGGAAGCCTGGCAAACTTTACCCTGGGTCACAGAATACTACACAGAAGTCCATCTCCATTGTTTTTTGCGTAAGCTCTATTCGTCATGATTCGTCACTCAGCAAGTACCGTAAACAGAAGCAGTCACCCCCCTGAACATACGCCATTTTTAGTATTTCCAGGGGGTGACTGCTTCCGTTTACGGTACTTGCTGAGTGACGAATCATGACGAATAGAGCTTACGCTAAAAACAATGGAGATGGACTTCTCTGTAGTATTCTGTGCCTGGGTGCCAGAGGTTCTTCCACGCTCGTAGGGGGGATAATGAAGGATACACGAGGATTCAAGCTGGACCTCTGGCACCCAGGGTAGGCAAACTTCAAAGCTACAAAGGCAAACAGACTACAAGCACAATTAGCCATTCCGAAGTTGATGAGAGGACTGCGGACGAGTGTTAAAAAGTGCCCAAATTAAGAAATAAACCAAATCACCAATCTCGTTCCCCGAGCCTGTGATCCTCGGGAAGGAACGCGAGGCTCTGGGATAATCCGTTGCCGAAAGCCAGGAATCCTGGCTAAGATTGAACTATAATTGAACTACGCATTCCATTTCAACGGCCAATCAGATTCCTCCCTGAAACGGATTATCCCAGAGCCTCGCGTTCCTTCCCGAGGATCGCAGGCTCGGGGAACGAGATTGCCAAATCACTAAAAAGACCAGCTCAAAATTAGTAAGTATACAAAGTTTGAAGAAGTTTACATGAATACCCTTCGAATAACAAGCTTTCGAAAATCGCGATATTTACTATGAAATGTACTGTAATTTTTGTTTTGGGGACGCGCGTCCCAAAAACAGTCTTTTAATCACTAATTTCACAATTATCGAAAGCTTATTATTCGAAATATATTCATGTAAACGTCTTCAAACTTTGTATACTTACTACTTACTAATTGTGAGGTGGTCTTTTTAGTGATTTGGTTCATTTCTTAATTTGGGCACTTTTTAACACTCGTCCCCAGTCCACTCATCAACTTCTAATTTCTAATTACATTCTCGTACCCAGAGCCCTTCTTACGCGCGGTGCGACGAGGGGCTCTGGCCAAATCCATATTCCGAACTGGCATCTGATTGGCTAGTTCTAACAGCGGATACTCTGGGTACGAGAATGGGCCAGTGGAATGGGCTAATTACAACTTCTTAGCAATCTTCTTAGCTGGTTCTTACCTCCTGTCAAAAGCAATCGTTCCTGGTTTAAAGTTTTAAATATTTTATTGTATAACATGAAATCAGTTTTGATAAAATAAATGCATGATGTGTATGAAGACATAATTCATGCTAGCAAGATTACAGTATTTTGTTTTCTTCCCAGTAGCTGCGCATGCTTACTAATTCAGCTAGATTCTTAGTTCAGTAAAGCCCTGGGCAAACTAGGGAACATTGTTGCGGAAACATTGTTTCCTTCCAATGTTTTGCCGTGTTTCCCAGAGTGGGCAAACACTAGGAAACATTAGTGAGAAACATAGGGAAACATCAAATGTTTCTGAATTTGCTAGGAAACATTTTTGCTTCTCGGGAAGCAAATTTTGTTTCCGCAACAATGTTTCCACGGGTGGGCAAACAGAGAAACATTTGAGGAAACATCACAAATGTTTCCACAACAATGTTTCCTAGTTTGCCCATGGCTTAAGGTTTTTTAAGAAGCAGATTAATTTGTCGACCTGAAGTGGTTCTTGTATTTCGGGTGCTTTAATTAATTGCCAAAATTTTAGGCTGGTGGTTCTTAATTCATTGGTTCTTTCATGCGGGACTTTACTGTAACAATATATAGCTCTGACAAAAATATGGAATCGAAATAAATTATATTACAGGAGATATTCAGTTGTTTTAATCACAAAATGGATTTCTATTTGACAACTAGTGCCAGTACTTTTCCGCGTATCAAGATCATCTGGTTGGTATCACTTTAGTATTTATACATGAATTTGTTCTCCAGTTCGGACAAACAGGATTAGAATTTGATCAAATTGCGCAGACGTGAAATAGTCGGATTTGAAGTATTAGAGAGTTTAAGCTTTAAACGCCAGGCAAAGAAAAATTTTACCGTATCAGGCAATAAAGAGTAAATGAACTCGCTGTTTTAAAACTGCAATGCATGATTATTCTTTTGGCACAAGAAAGAAAATATGAAACGAAAATGTTCGACGAAAATTTTGCCAAGAAAGTTCGAACCTGCCGTTTGCCGTTGCCGGCCGGGTGAAGCTTAAACTCCCTATTACTGAAGTATTACTTCAAGCTTGGGTCTACCAAACCTACGGGGTTTTTTTCAGATATTCCTGTTTTCTCCTGTAGTAACGTTGGGGGAGAAGAGAATTAAAAGAGATTAAAAAGAGCTGATAGAGTTGAGAAAATACTCGCCATGCAGTTTAGCAACTAAGTGAGAAAAGCAAGAAATACCTCTTTTAGTAAATCGATTTTTACCCATGCTCCATATTCATATTTGGTATGAAGAACTGGCCAACTTCTCTTGCCATCAACCGCAACACTTGCAGGTCCACCATGTATCGTCCAACGTGATGACATAGAAGCAGGTTTTCCAAGTGCTATGTTGAGATTGGGATCTACAGAAAAACAAACATTATTAAAAGAAAATAACCAGAAATTTTTGTAATCAATTCAGAATTCTTAAATTTGTTGGCGAGATAGCTGAGTGAGACATGAAACTTACTGATGCACTTTGGTTCTGCACCTTCCCACATTCCACTTTTGTTGCAAATTTTCTGTCCAGAACCCAGCATAGTCAGTCTGGTGTCGTTACATGTGTATGTGGCTACAGAGTCGCATGCTTGGGAGATGTAAAATACGGTGGCTTGGTTTGTGTCCTGGAGTGGAGGACATATTTTCACTTGAAACAGAGAGAGATGTTGGTTAATGGTAGATCATAATGGTGCTAGTGATGAAGGCGGTGGTGGCCATGATGATGTTCATGATATTCATGATGATGATGATGATGATGATGATGATGATGATGATGATGATGATGATGATGATGATGATGATGATGATGATGATGATGATGATGATGATGATGATGATGATGATGATGATGATGATGACTAAAGAACAATGAACATGACTTACAAAAACACATTGGTTGATTATAATTCCAAGTCTCATTTTTCAAACATGTGCTCTTGGATTTGCCAACCAACCGGTAGCAACTGTCACAAGTAAATGTCACCACATCGCCAACAAAATACGATAAACCGTGTTTATATCCATTCTTTGGAATACCAGGATTAGAACAACTTTTAGCTAAAATACACATACAATAACAGTAACAGTAACAAATCGCAGGGCCAGCATAATCTAGGGAGCATATGAGTAAATTATATGACTGGCCAAACGACCGGTGAATTATTACTGATTGACTACCTAATTGATTTTAGGAGCTCTACACATACCTAAACAATTTGGATCTCTTATGCGCCTCCATGTGTTTCCAACACACCGCATTAAGCCAGTAATTATAGTCGAATAATTCTCTTTACATCCAATTAATAAGACAGTTCCTCGGTGAATACGTATTCTTGCTTTTGGTGGAAGGACCGGGTTTCCACATGATGAATCTAAAGAAATAACTTGCCTCTTGAGTTATCCAAAATCACAAAATTTTAGCTGGGGAACATAGAATACTTGAAGACTTTTTACGGAAAAGGATAGCATCTTGTTGGTTCTGAAGAACACCACGGGTTTTTACTAATAAGCATCTGCAATGCAATGCAATGCAATGCAATGCAATGCAATGCAATGCAATGCAATGCAATTCAATGTAATGTAATATAATGTAAGACAACTACTGTAACAATAGTTAAAAATATTAAGATACACTAAGCTCGAAATATTATTAAGTCCTCGTCAGGGCCTCTTCAAGAATTTGTCAGTGGGGG